AACATTTATCGTGGCGATTCGGTACATGTATGCAACACATCTTAATTCTTTTTTGTCTGCTACCCTGTTCCCCCCTTCTTCTTCCATCTCTAAAGAAACATTTACACACAATGGAATATTACATTACCATATAAAGGATAAATTGGATACAGCTTGAGACCATAATATTAAGTGAAATAAGCCAAAGACATAAGCTTAAGTAGCACATGCTTTCTCTTGTATGGGGAAACCTAAAATATAAATAAACAGCAAAATAAAAGATAATAGGAAGTATGGAGATCTTTTGCAAGTAGAAAGGGAAGCAGGAGATGGAGGGAGAGGAGACACAATGAAGGAAAGGGGATACAAAAATAAAATTGGAAAAAACGGAGATAGATGTCTTACAAATGGGAAAGGGACCAAGAGATAGAACAACTTTTACTGATTAAGAATTTACTGTGTGCCAGTTCCTCTCATGTACATTATTGTATTTAATCCCCCAAAGGTAGCTGTTTTGCCACCATTTTAGAGTTGAGAAACTGGAACACACAGAAGTTAACCACCACTCCCCAAAGTTGCAGGGCTGGCAAAGCTATGAACTGGGCTCTTAACCCACATATCCCTCCCCGCTAAGTCCTCCAACCACAGATCCCACCTCCTGCTCTGTCTGTGAGTCCGCTACGTCTGTGGGGAGCCTCTGTTCCTGCAGGAGGAGCACCGGGGTCCGGAGGCAGAGGGCTGTGGAGACGGCGGGCCTCCATCAGGTGCCAGCTTCCCACAGCAGCTGTGTTCCATTATAGTGGGGACAGCAGTCTTCAGAAAGCCACTTTTGCCAGGGTCTTGAGGGAACAGGATGACCACAGCCCGTGAACCCCTGGGGCCCTTGGATTCCCAATGCCCACCCCACAGGGTTTCATAAACTCGTTGACGTTGACGGGGCAGTGTGTGTGGAGCGCAGGAAGCCCGGGGCCCTGTGGTCTGCCAGTGTTGCTCAGAGTTTCCTGGGCTGTCTTTCTGTGGGGCCCTCTCAGGCCTCTGCCAGGCCAGTTCCCCCAATCTTGAGGCCTCCTTCCTGACTCTTATCTGACTCTGAGTCAGTGAAGCCTCATTTTCAGGGTGCTGAGGCCCAGGCGATCTTTTGAGGCTCCAGTGATGGCCTCAGGGAGCTGATGGTTTCAGGGGAGCCAGCACCACCAGGTGGGCAGAGGCAATGCTGCTTCCAGCCAGAAGACCTGGGCTCCACACAGAGCCATGCTAACAGGCAGGGTAACCCTGGGAAGATGTCTCCTCCTGAATCCTGCCCTCATCCACCTGCCAAGCCAGACAAAACCCTCACCAATTGGAAATGTGTTCTGCTGGTGTGGGAGATTCTCAATCCCATCTTCTAAAAACGTCTATAGGTTGAACTTAGCAGGTTCCTGAAGAGGGAAAAGGCTTTACGGGCAAAAGATAACCTAAGGCAAGACACAGAGTTAGGGTTTAACACACACACACACACACACACACACACACACACACACACACACGCATACACACACACACACATGCATACACACACACACATCCTTTAAACTTTTTTTGTGCCAGCAACTCTCCTATACTTTTACATATATGAACTCATTTATCTCTTTTATCATCCTTATATTGTAGTATTAGTTTGCCCTAATTTTGTAAATGAGGCAGTAGAGGCTCAGAGAGGTAAAGTAACATGCTCAAGGTCACACAGCTAGAAGGAGGACATAAGAGCTGACCCTCGGCAGCTGGGATGAGAGCATGAGTGGAGCACAGGTTGGTACGGCTGGCTGCATCCGCCTTGCCCATTGCTGTAGGCAATGCTGTGTGGTGTTGGCCCTTAGTGAACGGTGCAGACGTTCCTGAAATGTGTACTTTGCAGAAGGTGCAGCCTTCGCTGCTCTGGAGCCACTGCCCTTTCACACAATAAAGGATGTGGGCAGGGCCAGTATGGGCCCAGCTCTTAGACCTGTAAGGCTGGCCACTACCCGTCAGTGGGTCCATCCCAATGGGTCTGCTGGCCTTCACTGGCATGAGGCATCCAAGAGGACAGGCAGGCATTTCATGGCTCTTTAACCTCTCTCTGGGCCCCAGCCCTTGGCTGGCCTCTCCTTCCTGAACCCTGGTGTCTCTGACTCCCTCCCTCCCTAGGAGTGTTTTAGCTTTTAGGGGCTCAGGCTCCACCCAGGGCCAGTGCAACAGGGGAGAGGGGGAGGACACAGACAATCTTGTAGCCCAGGCTCCCTGCTGGCAGAGGCTCCTGAGAGACAAGGCTGTCTGTAGGGCTGGGGAGCTGTGGCTTAGGGAGAAAGGAGGCTTCCGTTCTCCGTGGCACTCAGACCCCACCAGGAATGTGGCTCCGGGCCAGGACGCCTCTGGGCAAGAAAAGATGACTCAACAGAAACAGTGTCCCGGACTGGGGGTGACTGGAGCCACCATGCCAGGGGCTGGTGCCAAGTGGCAGGGCGGGCGAATTCATGATCCCCAGCCCCATCCTTTAGACTCTGCTGTGCTTACTGGGGTCCTTCTTTAGATGCTGTCCTCTGCCTGCGGTTTTAAGACCTTCATAATGGCAAGAACCTGCTCGGAGGGCTAGAAAGGATAGTGCAGAGCTGGCCTGGGCTGTGCATGGGAGTTCCAGCCAGGCAAGCCAGCTGGAAGCACATGTGTTTAAACAGGCACAGACACTCACAAAGTTCTTCCAGGCTAACTCTAAGAAGATCTGGAGGATCTTGAGGATCTTGAGGATCCTTTGTCACCAGACGCAGTTGCCACCAGGGACTGTAGTGGCCCCATGGTTGGTACAAGCCTCCAGTGCACTTGCAGCTCAGGTCCTGAGCAGAAGGATATGGTGTGGTGTGAGGACAGACAGCTGCTCCTGTCCTGTCTGTTAGCTGGTGCCCCGAGTACCCTCCTCCCCGCTGTTACTTGCCGATCTCAAGCATTCCTCATGACAACCCTAGACAGTCAGAAGGTACTAGGCCTGCCATCATTTTCTAGAGAGAAAACTGCCATAGAAGGCTATTAGCTTGCTCATGGTCACCAAGCAGTGAGGGGTTAGAGTAAGTACGAGTGGTAAACATTCTGCTTGATACATTTTCCCTCACCCTAGACCCCTACTCAGTAGAGAAAGAAAGGGGGCAGAGTTCCTGTGACTTTGTCTCTCCCCTGGGTGCCACACAGCGACTGAAGGTCAGCAGGGATAGCCCATGGAAACACTGACCCCTTTCTAAGAAGCATTGCAACATCCGGTGATTTCCTGTGCAACATCACAGGGTGCTTGGAACTGGTGAGCTGTGAGCACCGCTAAAAGCCGGTCTCCTGCCTTAGTAGGCTGTGTAACTTTGACAACTAATTCTATTTCAATGTGCCTCGGTTTTCATACCTATAAAATGGGAAGAAAGTATACATCTCTCCACTACCTGTCCTAGCAAGATGAAATGTAAAATGTAGGGCCACTGCAGCCTCAGACCTGGCCAGAGAGAAAGATGGCCATTGCCTGGCAGTGGCAAAAGGTGGGCTGGGGTAGCATGAGGCAGCAGGGAGGCCCAGGGGTGGGGAGAGAGAGGAAACCAGGGAGGGGCCAGGAAGGGAGGGCTTGCAGCTGATATCACACTGTGAGGATCCCAGGAGGCCAGCAGAGACCAGGATTTCCTTTCATAGCAACTTAGGGGAGAGTTATTTTGTTCTTAATCCATCTGCCTGATGGAGATCATCTAAGGGTAAGCCAGGAGCCTTTGGTGAGAAACCAAATCAGAAAAACCCTACTTCTTCCCAGGAAACTCCTTTGGGCAGCTCTGCCCTAGACAGGTACCTGATGATGGGCAGTTCCCTGTTCACTGACTTTTGTCCTGCTCTGACTGGGCTTGTTGGCTGACCAGTTCCTGTTGTCCCAGCAACAAAGCAACAATATTGGTGGTGGCAAACAGACATGTAAAATCACTTAATTATCCAAACAGGCACGGTGCCAAGCAAGGGTGTTTACAGTTATGTTAGACTTAGTCATTCTTGCAACTAAAATGTAATTGGGATGATCCTACACATGCCTGAAATAATAGGTCTCCTAACAAATACATCTTTTGAAGACATTACATTGTACTTACTCCAATTTTATCACTGAGCTAATTTTATTAGAGTCAAAACCTTGGCAAAGCAGTGGTGTGCATGGCAGGGACTTCCCAGCCGCCCATTCCTCAACTCTGTTCAAGGGTGTATTAATACTAGCAGGTCCTTCTGTTTAGGATGTTATTATGGCTCTATTCTGGGACATCCTGTAGTGGTTAGTTTTTGGAAACATCATTTAGCTCATAATCTCTTAGCAACAGGACTTTGAGGGCTAACGGCCGATGTGTTATCCAGCAAAGGGTTGTGACTTGTGGGCAAACAAGCCCGCAGTGCTCACATCCAAGCTCCCTCTGATTATGAGTTTAATTGTTCCGGGTCATTGAGCATCCTCAGCACCCACCACGAGTCAAACTTGCTTTGTTAGGAGCCTGTGAGCATTTGCTAAGCGGTCTCGTGCCCAGGGCCTGGGGGACTTTGAGAGTCTTCAAGTGCTCTAGGCTGTCACAAGCACTTTTCTGTTTGGCACAGACCGGGAACTGGTGTCCAACTAAAAAGAGCTTTTACTTCCTGCTCTGCAGATGCCTGGAACACCATCTCACCCTCAAAACACCCGACTGTGGCAGTGTTAGGGCATCATTACATTCAAATGTCCACCCTGCAGAGCAGCTGAGTCCTCACAGGACCTTTGGTCTCCATAAAGTTCTCTGGAGCACAGCACTTAAGGGTCACTGCCACAGCTTGCTACCACAGGTCAAAGGCCACACAAACTGTGTATGCTGGTGGTGCCAGAGCCCAGCACTCAAGAGCAGTGTGGCGCTGCCTGTCACGGGAGCTTGCAGTTCTCTTTGGACTGCAGCTCTTTATAGTCCCTTCCAGAGGTTGAGACCATGGTTTTTCAGCTGTGTGGGGTAGGAATAAAAAATGCCTAAAATAGCTATCACATATTACAATGAGTTACACTTCTGCATCTTTATTTATTCTTTCAAACCTTGTAAGGATGTGATATTGTCTTCATTTACAGATCAGGAAGTTGAGGATTGGTGTGACTGTCTGGCTCCTAAGTGGCAGAAAACAGGTTCTTGCTGTGACTCTGCAGCCATCCCTCCCCTGCTCCATTGCTTGTGAGCAGAGGTAAACTCTGAGGCCAGAGTCAAAGCTGGCCTCTCCTCAGGCCCCGGACATTTATTCAGTCACATATCTTCATTGAACCTGCAACAGTAATATTTTCAAACATTCCTTTTCTAAAGGAAACTCCCCCAAATTACATAAGCCTCAAGCTCCCCAGGGAACTTGGATCTACTCTGCTCATGATCTATCCTACATAAAAATTTACTCCTCTTTTCTTTCCCTTTTCCTACCTTGTTTTCTTCTTTTTAGGGCTTTTTACTAACACCATAGTTTTTATATATTAATCTCATTTATTACACACTGCAGGCACCCCTCGGTAAATGTTTTGGGTAAATGAATGTATGCAGACACAGACCATATGCTTAAGAATCCTGTGTAGTAGATGGAACTGTGATTATTTCCATATTATCGACAACTAAAAGTGTGAAAGGTGACATGCTCAGCAGTACTCATTAACAAATCCAGTTCCCTTTCTCTTCTCTGAGCTGCCTTTGAACCTGGCCGTGTCCAGATTTCCCCTGGCCATGACACCATAATGTGCTCATAGACTAGACATCATCTTGCTGGTGCTTCATCTTTTACTCTTCTTTCTCTCCACAAACTCCCTGACTCCAAAAACTCATCATCCACTTCCCAAGTGTCTCCTAAACTCAATCACCTCCATGGCTCCATCCCCTACAGGATCTTCCTGAGCCTCTTGAGAGGGCTCTCTGCCCCGGCTTCATCGGTCTCCAGCTGAAATCAGCCCATGGGTCCTCATTTCACAGAGGTCGTAGTAAATCTTCCCCACAGCAGCCCTTACTCTCCACCCCAGCTTCTGAAACAGCATCTCCTTCCTGACTCAGAAGTTTCGCACATGCTCTACCTTCTAGTGCCAGAATATTCTTTTCCTCTCTCGCTCTCTCCCTCCCAAACGACTTGATTTTTACTCACCCTGTGGTGTCAGAGCACACATCAGCTCCTTCGCCTGAGTCAGAGCCTCGGTGAATTGTTTTTACAGCTCTGTACATAGCTGTGGTTAGAGTTGCTCACACTAACTGGGTGCTGTTTGCCTGTCTTGTTTGAGCTGTTTTTGCTGCCCCTCTCCTTCCTCCCCACCTAAGCTCACAAACGGCAGGCAACGCGTTTGTCTTGCTTGTGGTTGAAGAAAGATGTTTATGTGTAAAGCTCGAAGATAACTGATCACATTAGCACTGTGTGATTATTTGGGTATCTAGGTCCCTCCTGTGCTATGCCTTGTCATCTTTACTGGTTATTTGCATAGCTGAGACTGGGTTCTTGACATCTGGGTTGAGCCAGCAAGAAAAAGGACAGCTTTTCTGAGTTATGGTTTGCTTCTTGTTATCTATTGCTGAATAACAAGCTGTGCAAAATTTAGTGCTGTAAAACATCAACCATTTCACTATCCTCACAGATTCTTTGGGCTGTTACTGTGGGTGATGGGGTCTGAGACAGATTCTGATGTTGTTAGGAGAAAGGAACAAAGAATTGGACACGGCACAACAGCAAAGATACAGCAGCAAAGTTTATCAAGGTCAAGGTACTCAGAGTGAGTGAGCTCTGGCTGTCAAAGATGTCACAATTGCCATTGGCATAAAGAGTAGGGGTTTTAGGTGTTTGAGAGGGCACCTCTCATTGGGGCCTTCTAGAGCATGATTAACAACATGATTGACAGGATGCTGGGTCACGTCAGCTGCATCCTTTCCCATCATGCACTTTGTTATAATTGTGTGTAAGAGAGAAGCCCTCAGTATGTGTGAATTTTCTTCAATAGGCTCCAGGTGAACAAATATGTTACTGTAATCCACATAAGGAGGTGTGGCAAGCACTGGTCCCAATTTGGAATTTTGGAATTTTCCAGAGCGTATTTGATGGCAGAGGTCTTTGTTTCACTTATTTCTGCCATCCTGTAGTAAATGTTAAGACAAGGCTTTGCCCAGATTTGGGTGAGCAGAGGAGAGCAGCCCTGTAACTCCCAACTGTACTGTCTGTATTAGATCTGCAAAGAATTCTGTGGGATTTGATAAAACATGAGAAAGATGGCTTGCATCTCTGCTCTCTGATGTCTGGATCTCAGCTGGGAAGATTCTGTCAGGAAGAATTTCATTCACCCAGCACCTGACTGAAAGTCTGAGTTCAGCTGGCCTGTACCCAACCTGTAGCCTCTCCAACATGATGGCCTCAGGGGAGCTGGATTTTCGTGGTGGCACAGGGCTTTAAGAGTAAGCCTTCTGGAGAACAAGGTGGACATGGCAGCCTTCTGCTCCCTAGCCACAGGAGCCACATTGCTTCTCACAGCAACCTGAGATTTCTCAGGTTCCAGTGGAAGCTCATAGATCTCCATATCTTGCTAGAATTTGTGCTCATATTTTAAAACCACTGCACCCTGGAAGGGCACAAGCTAGTTTTCCTCTTACTCCACTAGTGAGAATGTAGTCATTTGGCTTCAGCTAAATGGACAGGGTCGGGATTGTTGTCTCTGGTTGGCAGCCATGTTCCTGCCTTTGACTCCACTGTGGGAGGAAGGAAAGTTGGATTTTGGCAGACTATTAATGGTTGGCCTACAGCCATTGAATAGCTACTCCATATATGGCTTTCTTTATCATAGGAAAAAAAAATCAAAGTCCCAGTGATGGTGTCCACTGCAGTCACACATCCAGTGACTGGATGTTTGTGGAGTATCCAGCTGAGCCATTATGAAGACAAGGTAGTCAGACGCAATGCCCCATCGTTAACTTCAGAGCAGAGCTTTCAGGTGCCAGAACATCATTCTTTTCCTCTTCCCTCCCTCCTCTCCTGCTTAATTTTTACTCACCTCTTTGATTCCAAAACAAGAATCAGAGGTATTCCCTTACAGGACCTTCCTTCCATGTCTACATAATTTGCCTCAGAGGTGGTGGCAAACTCAGGTGGCCTTAGGTCTTTTAGACTTGAGAAAAATCTGCTTTCCTTTTTGTCTTGGTGCTTAATTCAGTCTATTTCCAGAGTAAGAAACATCAGTATAGGTTAACTGAAAAAAAATCACACTCTACCCGCAAACTGATTCCAGATAGATCAAAGATCCAAATGTAGTAATAAATTCATAAAATGTCAGGGGAGAGAACTAGAAATAGACAGTTCACAGGAGATAAACAATGGGTCAACAGTGGTCTGTACAGACATCCTCTGAGAATGTGGGGGAAACAGGAGCTCTTGTGCATTCTTGTCAGTGTTTAAGCGATGGTTTTAGAGGGAGGGTCCGGCAATTCTTTCAAGATGCCTGATGTTTAGTCACTCTTTACTCCAGAAACTCGATTTCTAGGTATTTATCCTATAGATAGACAGTATTCTCACAAGTCACCAAAACTATGTGGCAAAGAATATTCACTACAAGCTGTTTTAGAATAACCCAATAACTGGAAACCACCTAAATGCCCGTCCATGGGAAATACTAAATAAAGTAGAATCCCAGGCAGCTGTTAAAAAGAATATGGTAGATTTGTTAGTATTCACAGTGATTCCAAGGAACACTGATAATTGGAAACAAAGAGTGAATTGGAGAAAAATATGTGTAATGTCATTTCATTTGTACTAAGAAAGAAAACAAGTTAATATAATTCATATGTCTAAAAAAAATACCTGGAAGTCTGGGGCTTAATGGAAGGATGCTACTTAGAATAAGTCAGGTGTGGATTCACTCTCTAGCACCAAAACAAACAAAACAACTTGAAGAAAGTTGTGTAAAAATTTTCTGTAGTTAGCCAGGCGTGGTGGCTCACGCCTGTAATCCCAGCACTCGGTAGGCTGATGCAGGAGGATCATTGCGAGTTTGAGACCAGCCTGGGCTACAAAGTGAGCTCAAGGCCAGCCTGAACTACATAGCGAGACCCTGTCTCAAGACAAAAAAAAAAATTTTTAAAAAATTTTTTGTAGAAAATTCTATGGAAAGTTTTTACAATGATTACTTCAGAGAGAGTGAGTTTAAGACAGGAGCAGCAGGATACATTTTAGTTTCCATTTTATATCCTCTCATATATGACTTGCCTTAATGGACAGGTGATCTTTTTTACACAAAAATGAAATCTAGAATGGTGATTATCTCTAGTAAAGGAGTAATAGATCAGAGGGCCCTTTAATTTGTAATGTTACACTTCAAAAATATATTGAGATGGAGAAAATAGTAAATTTTATTCTTCTTTTACTTAAACAAAGAAAAGAAAAAAGAAATTGAAGCAAACATGGTAATGTCAAGAACTAATAAAGCTGGCTAGTAGGTATAATTATCTAGTCCTATATGATTTTCTGGATATTTGAACCATTTCACAACTTCAAAACCAGTTTTTTTTAAAGGGCTCATTTTACATATATATATATTTCAGAAAAATGAAGCAAGTGGAAAACGGGCAATAAAACAACTTTACATCTCTCACACCAGCTTCAGTAGATAAACATCTTACAGGTAGCTCAGAAAATTTAATTCTAGTCTCAGAGGAAATTTGGAAGCATTTTTATCTCTAGCATGTGCCTCAGACAAAAGAAACAAGGGACACAAGTTCCTTAGAAAAGTGTGACTCACGAGAATCCAGCATGGCAGCTGGGTAGGATGTGGTGAGCCAAGCGGGGTCAGGAACTGGCTGCCCGGGTGCAGGTGACAGTAGCCAGGGCTGGCTGACACCGGCGTGGAGAGGCTGGGCTCACTGACTGCAAGTCTCTTGGGGCAGGGAGGCTGGACAAGGACAGGAGCTGGCCACTGTACAGGGCACGTGCCCCTTACTGACCTCACGGGCCCACATTCATGGCCCTCTGTCTTTCCTGACACTCAGGGGACCTGGCCCCTCCTCCTCATCCTTTGCCCTTTCTGCCCCTCCCCAGCCTTTGCTCTTCCCCAGAGAGCTGAAAAGGCGATAGGCCTTGAGGGCAGGGGTTGCCTCCCCTGCATTCACCCCTTTTCTCACCCAGCCCCTTTCCCACCACAGGCAGGGCCTAATCTACTGCACCTGCAGTTCTTTGATCCATTTTGGTTTTCTTTCTTTTGAAAAACACTAACCACAGTGCAGTCTTGACTCTGATGGTTTGAAAACCCTCTTCCTGTGAACTTGTGATGCAGGTGATAAGAAATAAAGGGCAGAGGCCTGTGGGTGTCACCGGGGTCTTTGCTATGGACACCTGAGGAGGGGACAGCTTCTGGGAGCTTGAGGCTCTGAGGGCTTGTGTTGTTGGGCTCTAGGCCCTTGGCATTCAGGGCAGGCAGTTGCCCAGCCCTGCCAGAGGCCTGGGAGGTTGTGAGTACCTTCTCCCCATACTACCGGGGAGACTCAGCACTGCCAAGGGTCCTTTCAGCTGGGCCCTTGATGCTTGGAAGAGCTGAGAACCTGGCTTAGCTGCCTGTCCACCCACTACCTCATTTGTCCTCTGAAATAGACCCAAATGCTGACAGCCAGGTTATGCATGCCAGGCTCTAGGCCAGTGGTGGCAAACCTATGGCACACCTGCTGCAGCTGGCCATCTGTTACCATTGGAAACTCTAAAAGATTCACCATCACTCTTCTAGACTGAGACTCCTAAATGTGTGATCACAATTCAAATTGGAACAACTGAAACATAAGCACCCTCACCATTCTCTCTCACAGGGAATGAAACTGAGGCCCAGAAAGGTTATCTAGAGCCTCTAGCTGGGAAGGGCGGAGTCAGGATCAGGTCTTTCTTTGCTTCCAATCTGTCTCCAAACTGCCTACCCTGTTCTCTTCCCCAGGAAGCTGCTCTGGGGGACAGCATCAGTGGCTGCCCTTACCCTCCAACAAGTAGAGGAGAGTGAGGTCACCTGACACCTCCTACTGGTTGCCACAGCCTTGCTGCTGCCCTCAGCTGGGACCTTGGTCCCACCAGGTAGCCCCCCCTGCTCAGTTCCTGCAGTTCTAGCAACATTCCTGGCTTGTTAAGCCTAGTAGTGGGACAACCTGCTTGTGTCCAGCTTCCTTTCAACCCTTCGCAGATCTCTGACACTAGCGTTTTTATGGACAACTTCTCCAATCACCAAATTTGTGGGCTGCCTGCTTCCTGCTAGGATCTTGCCTGATCCATACCATCCATCTAGCTCATCAACACTCCTGGGGCTGCTGAGTCATCACAGGCTGCAGTCACACCGAAGGGAGGGAGGTCTCCTCTAATTCTTACTCATGTCTGTGGCTCTGTTTGTGCCC